CCCCAAAACCCCAAAACCCCAAAACCCCAAAACCCCAAAACCCCATGGTACTAATATTAAAGCAATTTTAAGTAATTAGATTTAATCTAATATCGAACAATTAAACGAATTATCATTTGGAAATCACTCTGTGTCTGACTCAAGGAAATCATCAGGGTTGCTACCTTCATCTCTAATCTATGTAGCAATATGGAGAATATAGTGATCAAATTATCCCTCGTGAATAAATCTAATAAACTCCTTGACTTTATATATTATCTTGTTAAACTTGAATGGATCCTTTAAAATAGATCCTTGATTTATCATCTTAATAAATGGATTCCTGACATTTATATACTAGTTTTTATGAAGTCTCTTTTTTTGTAATCCTCCAGAAGCAATATTATACTTTGTATTTCTGCTTGGAAGGGAAACTGCAAGATGTTTTAGGAATAAAATGAATAATTTATCACTTTCCATAACTCCCATTCCAACCAGATGTTTATATTCAAGGAGCTATTTTGTCAGGCCATCTTTATTCTCATTGAAATAATAAGATACTTTTACTTTAGACTCCAAGTTTTTAGAAGAAGATAATAAATCATTTGAGCCTGCATCAAGATTGGAAAGAGTTTTTTCAACTATAATTTTATTTAGAAAATTTTTCTCTCTCTCAGTTAACTATTCAGTTGTCTAAAATTTCTGGAATATTTCATCATTTTCTTTTTCATATTTTGTCAAATTAGGTAGAATATACAATTGCTAGCAATAATTGATAAACATCATCAAGTATGTAATGGAGGAGGGATAGCCCTCTTTTTCTCCTACTAATTAATTCATTTTCAATAATGCAATAAATGGAGCAGCTATTCTTCTCACTCTGTTTTTATCAAAATTTAAATATCTTTAAATCAGATTAGCAAGTTTAAATTCCTTTCTGACATTCATATGTTCAAATTTAATCTTAAATACTAGGTTGTCGTATTTTTAAGCAATTTCGTTTTTAAAAACCTTTAGATACAAGCATCTTTCATTATCAGAATGAACAACTCTAAAGACATTGTTTGTATCAGAAGATAATTAAAAAGGCGATTTTTCATCCGAATACTTTATCTACTCAAAAAGAGGCTTAATAGTTTTAACTACATTACTCATTCTTACTAGTATTTTAATAGTTGACCCTTTAAATTATAATCCTGCTCCAGTTAATCCATATAAACTTGTTTTTAAAGTTTCTTTATTCAATTTGAAATAAGTTTGAAATTAAGATTCTATGATTGCTTGAAATTAATCTATTCTCTTATATGAGGTGAAAAGCATATCATCGTTCACAATGCTAATCATTTTTTTAAGGCTTCTTCTCGCTGATAAATCATTCAAGAATCTTTTAACTTACAGTTTGATTTGATCATTTTCCTCTTTTCTTTGAAGTAAATCCTTGACCTAGCCAACTATATATTCATTTACTTTGTCGTTAAGCTTTCTGAATGTCAGTTTGAAGCTCTCAAAGTTTTATTTGAACTCTTCATTATTAATTAAATTGCTGTCCTTATTAGCTTTCACATCTAATCTATCAAAGCAAACCCCAAAAGCTTATTTTAGCTTCATCATTTTTTTAGATGATTCATAAAGATCTTCTATGAGATAAGAAATGTACTTATCTATTATTTCACATAAACTAGATTCAAAGTTAAATGCTCTTATTTTCCTTAAGCTTCCTATCAAATAATTATGAAGATATTTAGGTAACTCCCATTTCTCAATAAATGATTTCTGCAAAAGTATTGGATCTTTTACTAACTCCATGATTTCATTATATACACTCTCCATTTAAAAAGAGAGACTGCTTTTATCTATTAGTGAAAAACTAGTAAGGTCATTTAGCCTTTGTCTTCTTGAAGATTGCTTTAAACTATCTAAATTCAATCTCTCCTCTATGTTATTTTCGAAAACCTAAAAGATTTGCTTCTCAAATTTTTTTTCATAATAGGAAATTGTACTTCTATTTGTCTCACTAAGGGCATCATCCAATTCTTTATCTCTATGTAGTTCATTTAATATTCTCTCTACTTTTAAATCATTTTCTCCATCAACCTCTATCTTTTAAAGATTCTCATCTAGTACCTCTAAAATTTGCAATACTTAGTCATGTATTTTTTGAGATAGATGAATCATTTCAAGCTGCTTGCTTCTTTTAATTTTAGTGTATTCACTTTCTCCAACAGTAAAATATTCTTCATATTTGATATTACCTATCTATTTATTGATGATATCTGCTTATCTAATTCTTATATTCGCTTCATTGATTATTTCAACATTCTAGCCCCAATAAGCAGATTTATCTTATTCTTTTAGCCTTTGAGTAAATTCAAGGTAACCTTTAAGTAAGTTCTTTGATAAAAGACTTAGGATTACGTACGTTTAATTGACAAATTTTCCATCATTTCTCATAATGTTACGACAATTTAAGATTATCGCGGTACTAATTTCATTAATCATGCTTAGTGAATTTATATCAAAATTAGCTTTTTCAAAAAATCTTGGAATGTTATAAACCTCATTTATCAATTAATTCTTAATTGAGAGAAGCTCATTTTTGCTAAGATCCCATTTGCTATCACTTTAGTTTTCAGGTAAGGCTAGCATATACTCTGTTCTAATTATTTGCTTTAGGATAAGTGGAGAATCTTGATTAATTTGGCAGAGGCAATTTCTCAAAACGTAATTTAGCTACCTCAAGACAAGAGAGCATTTTAACGTTTAGATGACTAAAGTTCTGTATTTATCCATATTTTCTTGATTTAGTTCTTCTTCACTTAGGAATAATTTCACTAGACTTAGTATTCTATTCATTACTACTTTATAAAGTTAGCTGTTATAAAGCATTTTGCTTTCCTTTCTTCTTGTTTCGTAGACCAACGATGTTTCTTTGATGAAAATTTTTCGAACACATTTAATGAAATACTCAAAATTCTGTCTATTCTAATCAGTCTTTTCTAATGGCTCATTTTCGTAAATGATTTTAAACGTTGATTCTAAAAACTTGGTAACATTTCCATTCCACGGTATTTTTAACCTTTTCTAATGAGTTTTTTTCTCTAAAAACTTCTCAAAGCATTTTCTAAATTCTTCTATTAACTATGCTTAAGTTTTAGGCTCATCATTTTTGAACAGTTGATTATTGCTTTAATAATCTTTTTACTTCTAGTAAATATTGTAAAAGGTGTCAATATACTACTCTTGTTCATAGTCAAATTCATCATTCTCGCTCAAGTACTTATTTTTTCTTCAATGTTTTTACTTTAAATCTTGTTGTTTATTTATTTTGTGTGATATTTATTTCACTATTTGCATTATTTTTTATTAAATTCTATTGAGTATTTTAGAACAATTAAACAGAGCCCAACTATTTTTTATTTCTAGGCTTCTTTCTTTTCTCAACTTTTGTTCGATACTGTATATATGCTTTCTAATTAGTTATATCCTCAATTTAGATGTCATTCAATATTTCAGTATTTGTCATAGTACTCGTCATCATACTGTTATCTGTTGAGTACATTTTTTATCTTATTTCTTCATTGAAAATTTTATCAACTATTTGACTATATTTTATGAGTTCGCTGTTCTTCTTTTTCCGATCTTCTAGAAACTTCTTCAAAATTTGAGCTAGCTATTTAATAATTGTAATCAATAGCAAAAGCCAATTAAAAAGAATATTGAGTAAGCATAAGCCAGTAATCCCCCATCCAATTTTATATTTCTCTTCATAGTTATTCAAAATATCGCATAATGGTATCAATAGCATAAAAATAACATAAATAGTTATCTCGTTATATATTTCTATATAATTTTGAAGCCTCTCTTAAAATGGTTTAATCCCAATGTATAAGGCTAAAGATGCTATATTAAACATTATTTGAATTCCAACTTAGGTAGTTGAAGAATTTTTCATAAATACAATAGATACAGCAAACATTAATCTCCTCATTAAGTAAATAAAAATCCAATAAACTATCATGTATTTTTCAGGATTCAAGCCTAAATATAGTGCACCATATTGGCTAATTGTCACAGATCTATTAAGCTTCTTTGCATTGTTCCTTAAGAATTACAGAAGCAAAAAGGGAGTTGTAACAATAAATGCAGTGCATGCTAGTTGGAAAAAAGAGATAAAAAGTTGATCATCTAAATTGTCATTAACCTATAGAACCAAATTAAGAGAATTATAATTACAGTCATCAGATGTAATGCACAACTTAGACATAATCCAAAATAGGCTCTTTAAAAGCTTTAAATAATCAAGTTGAAATAAATCTTCTTCTCACAAAATTTAATAAGTTTCACAAAGCTGAAAAGGATAAATAAAATCAAAAGCTTCTGAACTTACCACTTAAAGAAAATTGTAAAATATGTAAATATAAAGAGGAATCCTGTAATCATAAGTGTTAGCATCAACATCAAAAGCATAGATCCTGAATCTAAAATAAAATTTTTATTTCCAAAACTTGTGAAGTTAATTTCTACAATATTCCAACACTTAGAGAATTTCAAAAGATATCTGATTAGGAAACTCTTGCACCATTATCAGTGTCTTAATAAGGTGTAAGTTTAAACATTTTTGAAAGCGTTTCTTTAGGAATGAGATCAAGATTTGATATCTAAATTAGAGAGTTAAAGCAAATCATAGCATTTTAAGGTAATGCCACTGAAAGCATCGGTATGTAGGTTATTAATTGAAGTGTATTAACTAGTTTCCAAAGCTATCTCATTGATATACTGAGTATTATTGATAAAGCAAAGTTTGACACTACTGTTACTGTAATAATTGTCTTAGCAGCTATAAGTGAAGATTCAAGTATCTGAAGTCCGCCTATATAAAGTTTTTAAATATTTAAATCTTTCTCTTACTTGAATTTAAATTTTGAGGAGGCAATTCTTAGTCGATAGTTATTCCATCAATATACTGTAGATATGATTTATATTTTTTGTCAGTTATGTTAAATAAATGTGTGCTCATCCAGATGCTAATTTTATCATATATCTATATTCATTAATTGCCAATAAATATTACAGTATATTAAGAGATGTACTTGGTATTGTTGAAATGAAACTGAATCTTAAGTTTTTTATTCTTATATTCTTAAATTTGCCAGTCAAGTATGCTTGGAGTATCTATACCAGATTAGAAATATAGTTCCATCTAGATTTTCATATATTTATCTTACTTAATTCAAGTTATATTATTTATTAAGTTTGCCGAGTCATCAAATGTAATTTGAAGTAAACCATCTATATCAAACTCTGTCTTGATTATGTAACTTTTTAAAAGTTTCAGAATTTTCTTATACTTATCAGAGGATGCATCATTTGCAATAACTAATTGGAAGTCACTGTCATTGATGATAGTCTCATTTTTCACAACATTAATTAGGAATATCTAATAACTTGATTTTGGATATATATTATTATCTGTCAATGTCACATTAATTTAGCAATTCTTAAGATTAATTTTTCTTGTGTCAAAAGTTAATTTTTTATACTGAATTCTTATCCCTATAGGTTTGCAAGATTTCCAGTTAATTGAAGTTTCTACTCCGTCTTTTTCAAGATCCTAAATTTCAGGTAATTCAATGATGCTTAAACTATTTTCTGGTAAATAAATTGTTTTAGGCAAGTTTGAATTCTTGAAATATGGAGCTGAGTTTGGTTTCACTAATGATTTTGAAGGGTCAAATACAATTAATGTAAAGGGCACATTGATGAAAAAGGGTATAGTAAAACTCATAGAAATTATCAAGTAGTGAGGATAAGTTCCAGGCATCAAATTCTATAGATCTACTGCTAAAAATTCAATTACCAGATCATCTTATTAATTTTCTACTCCTGTAACAAGATTCTTACTTTTATAAGTAATAGGGGACACAAGATATTAACAGTCCTAATTTTCAGTTGCCCATAAAACCGGTTAGAAAATTCTCACTTAGTCTACATCACTTTTCTGTGAAAAATAAACATCACTTATGATTGGGAGTGAAGTTATTGTAACAGATTATTCGCATGTTAGCGCGGAGGAGAATACCAATTGATGTGCCAATAATATCCCTATTATTAATAATTATTAATTTAACATTATTAATTTACCTTTAATCTGTACTATCTATTAGATCCTGGGGTTTTGGGGTTTTGGGG